TTATACGTACGGATAACGGGGGAGAATTCGATAATAAACGGCTACGTAAAGAGATAGAAGTACTTAATATCGAATTTAAGTAGACCGTACTATATAACTTCGAGTAGAACGGTATCTTCGAGCGTAGTATACTTACGCTAATAAACTCTATACGAGCTACGCTAGCCGATACTAATCTTCTAAATAGCTACTTTAGAGAGATATTTAAGACTACTACGGTTCTCTTAAACTACGCCTCTATCTCCGCTAACGGTAACGTCTTTCCGTATAAATAACTATTTAAAACTATACTACCCCTATAACGCCTACGATTAATAGGATATAAATACTAGAAACCGATTCTACGGAACGCGAGACTTATAAAGCTAGTAAATAAAACTAATAAATACTATCTTCTAGACTTCGATAAGGGGAAGTATTAGTATCGAATATAGAATATAGAAATAAAGAGCGTCGAACTCGCTCGAAACCTACGTTTCTTTAAAAATTACTTTTATCCGGTTAGTATAAATATCCCTCTAATATTAGAGCTACTAGTAATTAGCGAAGCTCTTTAAACTATAAAGCGCTCTACTTTAGTTAAGGAAAAGAACTCGGGAAAACGATTCTAAACGTAAGCGGCTAAAGTAGGTACTTTTAAAATCGTATTATTAATTACTAGAAAAGATAACTTTAACGAGTAGTATAGAGTTACTAACCCGACCTCGAATCTAGAAAAAATCTAGAGGTAAATAAACAACCTATAGACGACTATAAAGAAAACGTAGTAAGAAGCTATAGAAGAAGAACGATAAGAGACCGTTATTAGATTTACGTAGTAAGAAGCTATAGAAAAGAATTCTACTACTATCGCTATTTAGATTATAGTACTAATATATTTACTTAAGAAGTACTAAGATAAATAATAGACGGTATTAGTAGTAGAGGCTATCTAGAACCTAAATCTACTAAAATTAAAGACTTATAAAGCGATAATTAGGGAATTATAAGATAAAAATTAGATTATCTTAATTAATAATAAAATCGACTTTCTTATTTAAAATTATATCTAGAATATCGTAGAGCTACTAAAAGGCTAGCGAGTTCTAAGTAGAAAGTTCGTATTTAAAATTAAGATAGACGTCTAAGATAAGCCTAACCGCTTTAAAAGTCGATAGATAGTACGAGGTTTTAAATAGAAATACGAAGTAGACTTCTAAGAGATCTTCGCCTTAGTTATTAAGTCTATAAGCTATAAGATACTCTTCGCCTTAGTATACTAACTAGAATAGTACGTAGATTAAATAGATATTAAGACCGTATTTCTATACGAACTTATTAATATAGAAGTCTACGTCGAACTTTCTCTAAACTTTAGAGATAAATATCTAGATAAGATATATAAGCTAAGAAAGACTCTTTATAGCCTAAAGTAAGCCCCTAAAATCTAGTTTAAAACCCTAAGTAAGGAGCTAGAAAGACTAAAATTTACGCTATTAGTAGAAGACTATAGTATTTTCGTAAAAAACGACGTTATTATTATAGTCTACGTAGATAATCTACTAGTAATAAAACTAGACCGAGCGGTATTAGATAAGATTAAAGCTACTCTAGCGTAACGCTTTAAAATAGAGGATATAGATTTTATAAGCTACTATTTAGATATTAAGCTTAGCTAGTATAAAACTAAGTAGAGATCGAAGTTCTATCTCTCGTAGAAAGCCTATATTAAGAAGCTCCTTAAGGACTTTAAAATATAAGATACTATACTAACTAATACGCTAATAGAAGATAATACTCTAGTATCTAGACTAGAAAACTATACGATAGACGAAGAACTACGTAAATAATACTAGTCGGCTATTAGCTTTCTTATATATCTAATACTATATATAAGACTAGATATCGCCTACGTAATCTCGTAGCTAAGTAGATTCTCTATAAACCCTATCGATAAATATAAGAGGGTAGTTAAGAAGGTCTTCCGCTATCTACTTAGTACGTAAGATTAGGGTCTAGTCTTTAATACTATAAGAAAGAATATAGGAGTAAGCGGACTACTAGGCTTTATAAACGCTAACTAGAGGCGCGATAACGATAAAAGATTAACGAACGGGTATATTTTTACTTTATTTAGAACTACTATTTCTTAAAGTTTAAAAAGATAGGCTACCGTCGCTCTATTCTCTTATAAGATAGAGTATATAGTAGAGACGAAGGCCGCTAAGAAAGCTATCTAGCTTAGACGTTTAGTTAAAAGTTTTAGATATACGTTATTAGTTTTATCTAGTTTAAATAAGAATAAAGAGGTTATAATAATAGATAATAATCGGGGTATCCTCGCGCTTATAAAGAATCTAAAGTTTTATTTATAAACTAAGTATATCGATATTCGCTATTACTTTATACGCGAGAAGGTAAAGAAAGAACTCGTAAAGATAGATTAAATTAAGATAGATAATAATATTACTAATATTATAACTAAGCCTCTTAGGAGAGTAGCCTTCTAGAACCTACGCGTAGTACTAGGAATAAGAATCGTCGATAAGTAAATAACCTTCTAAGCGAGTAAGAGGGGTAGACTCTCTATAGTACGTACTTCTCGAGGGGGAGTATTAAAGATCGAGACGCCGCACTATAGTAGATACCTAGAATAGAACACCTAATTAGGTCTAGCTTCCCCTTGTTGTATTTAGTCTCCTACGAAGTGTTCGCCCCTTAGAGGAGTCAATCCATCAGATTCAAACACACCGTTCTCACTGAGCCCGTCCTCGAATGCAGTCGCCCTCAGTACCCACACATTCTCCCGACAAAACGAAAAATACTGTGCGAAACGGATACAGCTGTGTCAGACACACATATATTACGCGCAGAGTGGCGAGAACGTACAAGCTCGTAGACATGACGCCCAGCAGATTCGGAAGTTCTGTCTGGACATATTCATGCACGATCTTGTCATATGTGAACATCCATATCAACGCGTCTACTGCTGCACGGGTTCCTTAATTCGTAGCAGTCATCGGCGAACCGAGATCATATTCAACTCACATCCGATAAACCGAACGTGGAGTGAAAGCGTTTCTGGACAGTTTCTTTCCGACATGTGACTTTCAGTTCTCTACTACTATCTCTTAGGAATCAGCGTCGAAGGATACGAGAGAAGAGATGAAAGTCCCATGCGGCCCAGTAAACCCCGAGAGCGGTGCGCGAGGGGTATCTTCAACCGAATGACGGTGATGAATTATCTGTAGACGCTGCAGATACCCCATATCCCATTTTTTCTTTTTCCAGTGGTTTCCTTCCTCCTCTTGAGTAATAGTTCACCGATCATGTCACCACCGCTTACGGACCTACGTTCCACTGAGTTCCACCTCGCGCCTTTGCACACGCTTGGCTGGTCCCCTTGTATCGCACGCTTACATCTATCATTCCAGCTTCCATGCTAAAATTGACACGAGACAGGCCAGATCATGCAAAACAGCGCAACGAGTTGAAAAAAAAAGAAAAGGCCGAAGCCGTCTACCATCCCACCACTCCTTTCGACGCAGTACATTTTCCCCCGTCCCATCCGGGCCCGCAACTGGCCGAGAGCACCCACTTCCCAACAAGTCTCAAAAATACTCGGTGGTGCCGGGCAGCTCGATCGGCTCCGGAGACCCTTCCTTCATGCCAAGCGAACACGCGCGCGCGCTGTCAGCACCTGCCGGCGATCGAAAAGTCAGGCTCGCGTGGCATGATGATGTGCGGACAAGGCTCGGAAACGGATAATTGGTCAGAGTGTGACGCCAGCGAGCTGGGCCCATCCGAGCGCTGGCGGTTCCGCGGAAAACGTAGGTACATGGGTTCGGGAGTTTTCTCCTTCGAGAATAATAATGTGTACATGCATGCATGCATGCCCAACGAGGAGTGTGCGGCGCAGCCAGCGCAGCTCATGATATGGGTCCACACTCCCTTGTTTTTTTTTTTTTTTTCGGTGGCGATACCGCCAGGCGAACAGTGTTGTTGCAGATGGGTTTCGAGGTCTAGACTGCTGCCCTGGCATTTGGAGGTGGCCCGGTGATACTTGTTGGATAAAAAAAAAGGTGGGGAGTGGTTTGAGTGGTGGTGTCGCCAAAGAACAGGACTACTCACCACAGACCAGACATGACATCTGACCGTGGAGAGTGATAAACATGAAGCGTTGGTCCACTGAAAGAGCGTTCTTGTGGGATTGCGGCCCGGATGTTCAATGCCTCAGGAAGCTTCCAAGCTTGGTGTCTTGTTCGGAGACGAGTTATGGCTCCGCCAGCGCCGATTGCCTTGCCGGACACAATGCCGGAGTACGCAGCAATTCAAGAAAGAACCTGATCTTTCTCATCGTCGAATCATCAGGAATGTGCCACCGCATATATGTTGGTAGTCGGGAGCATATTTCTTGACCTTGTAAAATTCCATGGGATTTGGATTTACATCAGGAGGTTTGCTTGAACGGCTTGTGCAGGTATATTATAGTATCTCCGTGGAGGTCGTGCGAAAAGTTGCGATACTGTAAGGTCTTCAATGAACTTTTGATACTTTCTCATTCCGTTGCTCAGACATACTGGAGTAGACTTGGTAGGGGCTGCGTTCGCAAGCTACACTATCACTACTTCTACACGCTTTCCCGGCCGTCCGTAATCGAGATTCGTCTTCGCGTATTCACGAGTGCAATCGAGCCAACACTTATGCCAACACCTTTTTTGATACCTACGTAAATTTAGGTCAACAGATCCTAAAGATGAACAAGGTGGTGAAGTTTATTGCTGATGCATTAGAAATCAGTAGAAGTCTACCAATACGACAAGCTGGCACACGCACTCAAGGAGCCTGGGATATCTTCCCTACTGATGGATGATTGAATTCCCTACGCCGGCCGTCTTTCCATGCTGCACTTAACAACGCGCTGATGTGTCCTCCATACTATACCACTTCTCCTCATACTCAAAAGCGAGCGGGGTTTTCCCGTTTTTCCCCAGAGCCCTGAACATCTCAGAAAGCGATGACTAACAAAACCGACCACCGTCTACCATGTGCACAGCGCCGGTGGTGAAGCTCGACTCTTTGCTGAGGAGATGTATGACGAGCGGCACCACTTCTTCCACCCTCCCCACCCTTTGAAGCGTCGTATCATACTGCACCTCCTCCGCCTGCTCTATGAGCGCCAGATCACCAGTCGACTCCAGCATCGGCGTGACGATGTGGCCCCTGCAAAAAGGAAGCATAAAAAGTCAGCCCGATCACACCACACAACAGACGCAGTAGGTACTCACGGACAAACCACATTAACCCTTATCGCGCCCTCCTTCCTCCTCCCCAACTCCCTCGCCGCACTCCGGCTCAACCCAATAACCCCATGCTTGCTCGCCGCATACGCCCCGCGCAACGCCCCGCCCACCACCCCATGAATGCTGCTGCAATTGACAATCGCGCCCGCCTGCGCCGGCACCCCCTTCCCCTTCCCCTTCCCCTTCCCCTCCCCCTCCTCCACGACCGCATGAGCAAACGCCCCCACCTCCGCCCTCATGCACTTCATCACCCCCGTCAAGTTCACCCCGACCACAAGCTCCCAATCCTCATCGCCCACCTCCGCCACGCCCCTCACGTTCATCTCCCGCCCCGGCACCCCCGCAAAGTTCGCCGCGCCGTGGATGCGGCCGAGCGACGCGACCGTGTCGGCCATCCACGCGTCGACGGCGGCCGAGTCGCGCACGTCGACGGTGCGGGCGAGGAAGCGCGAACGCGAGTGGGAGTCGTGCGCGTGCGCGTGGCCGGCGGCGGCCTCGATGGCGGCGAGGGCGGCGGCCAGCTGGGGCGCGGGGGCGACGTCGGCGATGGAGACGTTGGCGCCGAGTTGGGCGAGGCGCAGGGCGATGGCGTGGCCCATGCCCGAGGCGCCGCCGGTGATGGCGATGGTTTTGTGGGCGAGGTCGGCCATTGGGTTTTTTCTTCTTTTTTTTTTGGTTTTTCTTTGGGTGGGTGTTTTGGTTTGGCTTGGTTTGGTTTGGGGGGGTTTCTTTTGCTCTCTCTCTCTTTGATGTTTGGTACTTACCCGGGGGGAGGAGGGCGGATCAGCGCACTACAGAAGTCGTGTGTGGTGACGCAGTAGGTAGGTAGGTAGGTAGGTAGGGAAAAAAGCAGTGACCAGGTCCCGCCGGACAAAAGTCAATCGAGATGCAAAATGCGAAAGAGCCAGCAGTTTGCGGGACGGCGAGGAAGGGCCGGGTGTGACAGCTCCATATATAACATGGACTCCCACCGACGAAGAAGCGGGGTGGTTGTCATTGCTTCGGAAACAAACACCGGAAACAGACACGTACCCAGCTGTATGTATGCATTTGCAAGGGATATTGCGCATCACCAAGGTCCCCGGCCCCATGCGTACGGCGCAATGGTTTCCGTGACCCGTTTCGTCTCCCCGTCTGCCGATTAGAGGTCTTCGTTAGCAGTATTCGGCAGATGGGGGCGGAAACAGCTTAGCGTTGTCCATACGGCCACCACCGGAGCAACTGCCGAGCCGCGGAGACCATGCGGGGGATGGAACACGTGGCTCCAGATCCATGATCTCCATGGTTCAGATCAGATTTCCTCTCATATCGTGAAATGGCCGCGGTTAGTAGACAAGTAAAAACGAGTCGCACTTCCAAAACAACTTCGCTGAAAGACTTCGTTCTGCAGTGAAAAAAATCCCCCGGCGCCATGTTCAACGACGTCCGTATCCATTGATCTGACATATGCTACGTTAGGGGTATGAGAAACTCCATCGATCATAAGTGCTGGAAACCAAAAAAAGACGACCGCTAATCCAGCCCTGCCGACACCATGGTCATGAGGAAGAATCCAACATCCAAAAATGCGTCTTGGTCTTTGAAAAATCGTGACACGGAAATACAAGAAGTATGAAAAGCCAAGGCAGAAGAGTGCAAAAGCGGAATACCTTGATGCCGGCTTGTTCTTTGGTCCCATCAGACACCGCGGAACTGGTTGTTGGTTAGCCAGGTGACCACAATATACGCGCCGTCGTTGGACACTTACCATCCGAACAACCAGGAACCATATAGCGCCAGTGAACCTGAACGCACTGAGACCAGCCACACTCCAGAGGACCACACTCATGTAGATCTTAGCACGCTGCGACTTCGCTGCCGACACATCGTCGTCTCCGACCGAGACATCAACACCGGCAGCAACAAGCACCACAGCGCACAGCGCCAAGTTGCAGAACATCCAGAACAGCACAACCGAAGAACGGAAGCCCTTGTAGTAATCTTCTTGCTTGTCTTCCGCCGAAGGATCCTTCTTTGGTTCCACATACTTCGTAGAAAACACACGCAGCTCCGACTCGTACTGCGTGTTCAGATCCGCATCATCCGTGGGCGCAGACACGTCGACCTTGCCACCGGGCTTCGTCGTGACCGACGGCAGCTTCTCGGGCTTCACGTCACCCTTCGTACCCCACGTGATATCGTGCGTGTTACAGAACGCGTACACGTTCAGGATGTTGATGTACGTCGGCGTCAGCAAAAGGTACTGAATGAACGACGTGAACATGTGCCACGGATCCAGGAACAAGAAGCTGGCAACGAAGTACAACAGGTACGTCGATGCCATGGAAACGATGAGCGTGAAGAAGAGTGTGTTCTGGAACAAGTCCGAGACCGAGAAGCCGTCCTTCAGCTCCTGCTTGACCGAGATGACGGTGATGTAGATGGACGCAAACATCAAATATGCCATGATGAGCACCCAGAAATACACCATCGTCATGTAGAACTTGTTCGAACCTTGGGGTCGGTTACCAAGAGCCAGCACGAAACAGGTAACAACTGTGGCGATGTATGCCCACTCGAAGACCGATGCCAGAATGCTGCCAACCGTGCCCAGGAACTCGTCGTTGCCAAGGGAGGACGTGAGGATGCGGAAGACCAAGAAGAAGTTACCCAGAGCGAACCAGGCGAAGATCATGTTGATGGACTGGTACGCGAACTCAATCAGGAACATCAGTTTGCGGATGAATGAGTGGTCGCTCCGGAAGATTTGATGCGAGTGTGCAAGGGCGTAGACGGCAGCGAAGAAACTACCGTTGAGCCAGCGACGACGTTGGAGAATGAAGTCGGCCATCTCAACCGGAACATCCGTCTCGCCCGTGGCCGACTTGACATATTGCAGGATCCAATGGCAGTTGCGTTTTGCCACGAGCTCGAAGCACAAGATGCGATCTTCGGCAAGGTACATGTTGGCGGTGAAGATACCGGCGTTGGCACCGTGCATCTTCTCACCAGCGAAGTACTTCTCCAGAGGACCCTGACCAGTCTTGTCGTTCTGCAACGCAACATAACGGTATGCAGAGAAGGCACCGGGAAGAACCGAAATGAAACCGAAGGCCGATTCTAGGGGCTTGTCCAGGATGTTACTCATCTTGTACTCGAAGTTCTGAGTCGCGACCAGCGGGTTGAGCAGCTTCTTGCCATGGACCAACATGGCTTTGATCTCACCGCAAGCGCCAGCGCACATCGGCTCGAGATCAAAGGCCTTCCAGAGCTGATAAATCGAGTCCTTTCCGGGCTTCGTTCCAGCGTCAATGAGGACGCAAATGTTGGGGTCGAGGACGGCGCCGAAAGCCTGGAAGAACCATCTGTGCGAGTTGATCTTCTTCTGGTTCTTTTCCTTCAAACAGAAGAGCATCTGAATGGGCACAGTTCCCTTCTTGACATTCACGACGCCCTTCTTGATTTCCATGCTCATTTGAGAAGTGTACTGCAAATTTGTTAGCATTCTTCACCCAAACACTTTGTTCTCGACATTACTGACCTCGTACACGTGTGCAGTCACCTCCTTGCCGTTGACCTGCTGCTTGGCAATGCCGTCCTGGTATACACCCATACCGGCCAAAACAGCTCTTGTTCTCGGATTGATCTTTCCACGACCATCGCTGACGACACACACTACGATCTTCTTCCACGCATCCTTGCCCCAGGTCTTGCTATTCGTCCGCGAGCACATGTATTCAATGTTCTTGATTACACCAGTCATGGTCCGCGCGAAAAGCTCGTCTTCCTCGTTGTACATGGTGACTGCAATGAAAAGCTCCGTGTGGCGGGGCTTCGCGAACAATCGCTGGCGCAGGGTAAAACGATCGCTGTAGAAATCGGCCGGATCGCAAGTGGCAGCCGAGTATCTCATGTGCGTGAACTCGTCACGCTCAGGCGGCTGAGCGTGAGGAACCTGATTAAGGAGTCGGGGGGGAATGGGGCAGTCGAGGACGAGGTTGCCGTTGAACAGCTGCACCTCCTTAACCGTCTTCCACCGCCTAATCGGCGCAGGACTCGGCGTGGGCTTGGGCGCATCGAAGTACTCTCCCGGATCATTGCTGGGGCTCATGGGGTTCATGGGATCGGGCCCGTAAGCATTGTCCGGCTGGAGCATGGGGCGGTTGTCCGCCTCATCCTGCCAATACTGCTGGTGTTCCTCCCCCGGCGACGAGTGCGACGGATGGTATGGCTCGTTGTAGTAGGCGTCGTGGTGCGCGTTCGGGTCGATGGCATAAGGCTCGTGGTAGCCTCCTGGCGAGTACTGGTGGCTGGCCTCGAACTGTTCGTTGTGGCCGTAAGTGTTGGTGATGTTCTCGACCGAATACTGCGCAAACAAAGCATTAGCTGGAACATGTACGCGTTCTTGTGCGCGAATTGTCCACCAACCGTAGGCTGCGCCTCCAACCGGTCACCTGGCGTTCCAGGACCAGGGCCAGGCCCCATGGGTATTTCCAAGGGCGCGCCAGAGCTGCCATAGGGGCGGTCCTCGAGCTGGTAGCCGTGGAATGGATTGCCAGGCGACGGCGTCCGCTGGGGTCTCCGGGGATCCATGCTGCTGTTGTTGTTGTAGTAGTCGTCGTCGTCGTGGACGTTGCCCGCTGAGCCTGCGCAGGTTGGCGGTCAGTCTAGCTAGAGATAGGCGCTTTGGCGGTGGAGCAAGCGCTGGCCCAGGAGTCGCTCCTCGTCGTCACAAGTCGCGCAGCACCAGGCGTTGGAGGCCAAGAGCGCAGGAATGTTGGAGAGGGCGCTACGTCTGGAGGAACCGCTCGGAGCGTCGTGCGCCGTGTAGGGCGGGTAGGGCAGCTTGCAATCGGCAGGGACTTACCGAGACGATTGTAGGACATAACGACAGGCGGCCGCGGTAGGTCGGGCCTGATCTGTTGCTGGCTCTGGCTGCGTGGGCGGAAATGAGGGCAGGAGGCAGGTGCCTGTCTGAAATGGGCCTCTCGGTGTTGCGAGTGGACGTAAGGTTTATCAAAATCTCGTCGATTGTTTCACGTTAGTCGCGTCGTGGGGCGCGGAGTAGCGCCGCGGGTAACGACTGTCAAGGACGCGCGACCGGACGAGATGAGGGGGGAGCAGCGGGAAGGCAAGTGAGGGCAGCAAGCGCGGGTGAAGCTGACTGTTGTTATGTTTTTGCGGTGTCGGGCTGAGTCCAGTGGCTCGGCCAATGCGAAGGATGGGGCAGCCGCTGCTGCAGGCTTCGTCGCGGGCTGTACATACAGGCCAGTGCGTCCCCAGCTCTTTCCCCCAGCAACGAGCTTGCGATACCTACCATCCTGGATTAATGAGGTCATCTCAGCAACGCCCGTCGCCTCCGACACGGCCGACAGGCAAATTTACGCGTCGCCCAAGGAACCTCCCATGCGGCTCCATGCTCGATCGGCCTTCCCCTCACGAACACGCACTCAACCGTCTATACAGCGCGCTGGCATCCCCGTCCCGCCCTGGGGCGCCCGAGTAGCGCCGTGTTGCTCAGCTTGGCGACGCCAATCAACGCCCGCTTCTTCCTCAAGCTCAGCGTGGCACTGCTGCCAACCGCAACACTGCCCTGCTGCTGACGAGGCCCGGTCTCTCCCACGTACCTTAGCGTGCGCCGTTCGTTCGTCACGAGATGCGCAGGGTCTGTCAGGCAAAGCGGCGGACTGTACACAGCCATTCTCCCCACTGTGGCGGCTGTGGCGCTCTCAGAAGCTTGGCATCGAGATGCGGTGTATCCGCGTGCGCAGCAGACAGCCACCATGACCAAACAGTCAAGTTTCTGGAAGTGATGCACATTGTTCCACGGTTTTGCCGCAAACCCAGTTGCTTCTAAAGAAAGACCGTCGGCATGCGACCTTCCGCCCTCAGCCACCCGACGTGCAATCAGCTTCTGACGTGATGCTGCTCTTCACAGTGGCTGCACGGCCTTGACCCCGCCGCCATGCCGGTTGAGCCCTCGACTGTACCTAAGCTCCCGACTATCTTCGCTTCCGACACCTTTTTTGCCTCAGCGCTTTTACCGAGGACTGAGGCATAATGCTTTCGCTCTGAGATCCCGGCCGTCTCAATGCAACGATCCGAGGTGCTTACGATTTTCCTGTGTACCTACGTCAACTGTGTTCGGCTTGTCCGAGTCACCGGTGGCCACAGTCACCGGATCGCGATATTTTCCATTGGCCAAAGTACCATTCAGCAAACAGCTCCCCCTTGGGATGATGTCGTGCATCGAGACACTGTAGCCACCGATTGATTTGCGGCGTGTTGCTGAAGAGCGCATCTTTCCCACAGAATTGCTACGCTCCTTGCCCAACGGAGTGTTCCGTTACGCGTCGTCCTCGCAAGCGTTATTCGTCATCTACCGTTGAACATTCTTGTGTTGGCCAAACATGATTAATACGAGCTGTGTGGTACTGAATGACTATGTGCAGTCACGAGCCAGCGAGGTGCGACGGGCTTCTCCGCCATATAAATCCGAAACCTTATCCAGCATGACTCTGCCTACAGCGGGCACCAGAAACTCTACAAAGTTTGCTTGATCTACTATGGCCAGATTGCAGGTGCAGCGTTCGCACTTGAAGGTATGGAACCGCTAATTAAGCTCGTCCCACTAGCAGCAATCCTCAGAGCACTAAACCGGTAACGCAGTCAGCTTTCCGTCGATTCAGTTGGAGGCGCCATCCATATGAACGCCAACAATCTCAACAGCATGCTTGTCGCGGGGACGAAGGATTTAGTAGGCTTGGGCCGGTTGAGGATGCTGAGCGGTAGAAAAATCTGGGTCAAGCCATAATCGTTCGGTGAATTGAACCACTGATTGCTGCTTACTTTAGGGGCCTCCCTTTATTCAATTCCGCCAAGAAGACCACCCAGGAGAGATATTTATTAGCAGCTAAAGAGGGAGCTTTCGGGAAGAAAGGGAGTGTTGGACTATACAAACTCTCGAAGTCTTATCATGGTTCTGGGAAAGCCGACATGTTGTGGATCATTTCCATGACGGTCTTCGTCATCCTTATGCTCTTCGTTGCTGGTTTCTACTGAGCTCATAGACATGTCTCATGAGGATATGCTGTATCTGCTGCTTCTGGAATTGAAGCTCATGTCTGCTCTTAATCGTACGATTTCTTGGTATCACGTCAGCAACTCGATAGCACGCTCAAGCATGTATGCTGGCAAATGAAGTCTGCCAATTCCATGCCATACGCATCTCTATTGTCGTGCTTGAAGTCTATCCGGGTATCATCGCATCGCCCCATCGGCGATGGGTCTTGGCAGGGTCTCTAGCCTCTATTCGAACCTCAGTCGCGCTCAGGCACCCCTCTCCGCCTCAAGATGCTTCAACAGGCCCTCGGAGAATCTCATCGCCTGTTTGTACGCCGTCTCGAACCCGTTCCTACCGCCGTAGTACGGGTCATCCACGACCTCGCCCTTCCTGCCTCCGAAATCGCCGAACAGCATGACCTTGCCGAGCCTGCCAATCTGCTCTTCCTGGCCATCGGCCTTCAACTTCTTCTCGTGGCTGTTCCGCAGGCGTAGCAGATCGCTCAGGTTCTCGCGGTCCATGGCCAGGATGTAGTCGAAGCGATGGAAATCCTCCGGGTGCGAGAATTTGCGCGCGCAGTGATCGTAGTCGGTGATGCCGTGGTCTTGGAGTGTCGACATGGTGCGCGAGTCCGGCCCGTCGCCGACGTGGTAGGCGCCCGTGCCGCAGCTGTCGACCTCGCCGACGAGCGGGTGGGGTGTGGACGATTTGGCGAGGTGACGGAAGACGCCTTCGGACATGGTGGAGCGGCCTGGGGGGAGACACCACGGTTAGAGCCGGTGCGAAAGCAGAGGATGGGGCAGGAGAAAGGCGCAGGAAGGCGTACAAATATTGCCCAGGCAGACGAAGAGAACGTTGGCCTTGCCGTCGACACCCATGGCTGCGGTGGAAGCGGGAGGATCGGCTGGGTTGAAAGAGCGTGGATAAAGTTCCTAATGAAGGTCTATACAGCTAGCTGGCTGCGGAGTGCGTCTCGTGCGGCGGAAACGAGGAGTGGGATGATGTCGGTGAGAAACTCTGGTCGGTGTTGAGTGCGGAGCAGCAATCGATAAGGTACCAACGCCACAGAGGGTGTGCAGGTGCCTGACAGGCTCGGCCCACACATTTGGACCACAGACCGTGTGAACCAATGCATACAACGACGAGAATTGGAAATTATTTTCCGGGTTTCTTCCCTAAAAAAAACACCAAACGGTCTCGGAATGCTCGCTGCCGGAGCAGCCTGCGTCATACGCCAATTGCAACTCCTCGTATCGCGTTCGCCGATTACCCGGCCCGCCCGGCAACCGTACTAGCCAGCCAGGTTGGTTGCACGGCACGTTGCAGTAGTTTCCCTCCATGCCGTCCCTACCATGTGTGATGGTTATTATTCGTAGAGTAGCATCTGGCACGCTAGGAATAGTCACAGTAGTGAGCCCCAACTGGCTGGAGGAAAACAAGCTTTTGGGAACCTCTCATCAACGTGCGGCGGCACACGTCTCACACGTCACTGACGCACGGCCTCCCGCAGCTCTCCAGCTCTTCCGACGTGCCTGGCGCCTTTTCTACGCTCTCCC